CACTCCCTCATCTGGGCCGTTGCCAAGACAGAGTCAAGAACACCGGAGACCCACGCACTGCGGGCCATCACAGACAAGAAAACAACAAAAAGTAGAGTGGCACGAATCCCAGGGAATGGGGGGAGGGGGGGCACGAAGGCCACATTACGAAGGAGCCATTGTAGCCTGACTCTGAGTCCACCAGTCAACCAGTCCGCACAAACACACGCACATACCGGGCCGATTACGCGGTCTGAGTTATCCCGTCAGTCGGCAACCTTCCAAGCCACGGCGATGACCAATTAAAGAAGAAACACCATGAATTTGATAGCCGCAAGGTTCGATTTCAATATCTTATAAAATTAGTTTTGAGCCCCCACATTACGGGCTGTTTGAATAATTCTTCCCCAGTCATGCACTAATACATTTCAAAGCTAAATCGTACTTTTTATTTTTCAATCTCTTTTAGTGAATGATAGTTTGGTTCAGTCGATAGATAAGAAGGTCTCACATATGCACTGTTGTCTTACTAAGCATTTAAACCAGAAGAAAACTTATTTTAGGTAACACAACAACGTGTCCGTGGATACACACAAACCGTGATCGGATTACCTCACACATCCGTATATAGTCACATTATGTTCCAAGAGGAGACTTCGGTTGACATGTCTTGCTTCTAGACAGGACATAACTTCCACGCCAAGTTGATACAAGGTGAAGGCATTCACAACCAGCATCATACAGATCAAAAGGCTCGGTCGACTAACGAAGGCGGCGTCCTTCACCCGCGTAGACACCCTAAACCACACATGCTCTCGGTGCACGCGGTTGAAGTTCGGATCCAGTTCCTCATCTCCGTTCGTGCCGACCACTAGCATAAGTATCGCCAGCCAGGCGAGAGCCTTGGACAGTCCAATTCTAGCGCACCGGAAAGGCATCACTGAGGACAGACTTCCTCGTTTTATTTGAACTAAAAATCGATAAGTTGAAAAGCAAGCCTGTCGCACTGACGCGGCTGTAACGCACCGCGAACTTGACTGAGTTTCCAATACAAGCGAACATGCGATTACCAGGAATTAAATGAAAAGAAGCAAGCGTGATCGCTGGGACAAGAATTTTATTCGTCCGACGTTTCGAAATCCATCGCGGATCCCGCATCAGAGGCAATAGCAGAAACGGGGAATCCATACACAGGGGGTCGAAGTATGACAGTTAACGGCTCTCATGTCGACCATTTTGCTCGCTTGTGCTGCCGCTTGCTTGATTGCCAGCATGCGGGTTGTGACCTGCTGAACTTTCATCACACGTGGGGGAATTGGGCGTGATGATTGTTCGGTCATCTGGTCTCCTGACACTGGCAGTAGACAACGCGTTGGCCTGCGCGTTCCCGAGTGGCGAACTGAGCCTTAGCACCGAATAGGGAATGGGCAGGTGGTTGCACTTGTTTATAGACTTGGGGCCCGTGAACCAGGGCTCAGGTAACACGCGATTAACACGATTGTCTCCTGCCGCGAGAATTTCTGCCTCATAAAATGTTAATATGTGGCCGGGCCTCGTCGAATGAGCCGCAACTTGAGAATTGGCATAATTTCGCTAGCTAAAATTTGTAGTAGGTGCGATTCTGTTGCTCATCTCGTTTGCGCATGCACTGGTTGACGAAGTTATGGGGGTAGCCCTTTTCTCTGAACACCCGTCGAATATATTTCATTTCGGCAACTTTGTTTTCCGTTCCACTGTAGTGCATCGCAAC